ACTGCAAATGAAATCTGTAATTGAACAATATGCAAGTGATGATTTCCCTCAATTCAAACTCTGGCCACCACTATTCACCAACACCACCATGCCAAATGCACCTTTACTGATTTAGGATCTGCATTGTAACAGCTAGTGGAAATTTAAAATTTACAGCAATAATGAAATAAGTTTTACAGATTTACATTTGCATGCATTTTAACAACTGACAAATTCAAAGATGAAAGGGAAAGTCAGTTCAGGAAACATTCATGGATATTGATAAAGCAGCAGAAATAGAAACTGATCATGCCCAATACAGAGCAGAAAATACAGCACAAAGGAAGTATCATTAGAATGACGAGCTTTGTTAAATGCAGCAAACTGTAAGATGCAGACAAAAACAGATGTCATGCTAGATAAGAAAAATACTTGTAATTGGAAAATATCTGGTGAACACCTGACTTTGAGGGCACAATTTCAATTAGCTGGTTTGCTGTTTTTTTAATTCCTTTTGCTGGAATATAGAGTTTTGTTATAAAAGAAATTTAATCTACTCAGAGTATAGGATTTTAGAGATCACATCCTAATAACATGTCAGAAAGAACTCAGGCAACGAGAGCTTAAACATGTTTCCAGTATCATCTGGTGAAAGAGAAAACCTATAGGTGCACATGTAGCATACCAATCATGCAGCCGCTTCCCCAGACTACCAACTAAATTTGAATGTATCATGTCCTAACTGTCCAATGTGCACATACTGCCTTGCTCTGCTGGCTATGGCAATGTTTACACACACTGTGTGTAACTTACTGCAATCACATGTAACAAATGGAAGCCGATACTGCAAATGTGTAAACCAGAGAGCAAAAATAAAACAGCTTGCTTAAAATACAACTCCAGCTCTCAGTGGGATTTAATTCACATATTTGATGAAATGCACAGACCTACAAACAATTATTTTGGTTTTTCTAAGAAAGCATGGAAAGGAAAAGGCTTTTTTATTATTCATCAAAGACTGCACCTTTGCACTGAACTAGAAAATGAGGCGCATGATGTGGAAAGATAACTCTGTTATTCACTGCTCTCAGAAGACTGCACCCTCACAGGAGTGCTGGAAAGCACTTGGGCTGTGTCTGTACAGCTCTGAGTTTCCACATCCACTGCAGTGCCTTCTGCTGCTATATCCCCACACAGACTCGATCCGAGCACATACCAGCTTAGTCACACAGCACACAGAGAGAAAACACCAAGCACACAAGCCAACCGGAACTGCAGTGCATGTCCATGATTTTGTTCAGATGAAAAATCATGAAAATGGGGATATTCCTATGGATTTGTTACAAATAAAAAGCAAGGGAGGAATTTATATAGAAGACAGTGTAAGTTTCACCAATTGCACAAAAATATATTTTAAAATAAAATAGTGTCATAATGCAACTGTATTCATAATATTGCCTGATTATAAATTTATATCCCGTTATCTTTGACATAACTAAAGATTATAGAGGATGACAAGCATTTTCTCTATTTCTTCTACAACAATTCTCTCAGAATATCAATTCTTTATTCTAGCCTATTGTACGTTCACAAGGGATCCCTTGTTTACTCTAAGCAAACAAAGCTTGCATCTCAAATATATGTTACACTGAACTAAAAACCAAATCCTGATTCAAATATGTTGCTGTTATGTAGCTTCAATCTGAATTTACATTCAAATCTGTGGGAGGAACAGGTCTGAGATACTACCCAGTATGTACTATTTCAGATTTTTTAAACATAAATTATGCAAGACTAACAAGGACGACAAGGTTATAAAGACTCAGTATGTACCAGAAGTCCTTGAAAAGCCCATTCCTATTTAAATAATCTAGAAGTCATTAGGCAAAGATCATAACATTCTTAGCCCAACATGCCAGTGAAGTTACATGCTTTGCCCTGTGATCCACTCCTCCAGTCTGTTAAGGCACTGAAGGCTACATTTAATTCAGAGAGAAACACCAGCAGCCATAGCCAGGTATGAAATCCTGGGATCTCTAGCAGTTGTGCATGCTGTACATCCCTAACAGCTTACATCTGAATCCAATTAAAACTACTAAGTGAATTCATAAATGGCACCAGTTTTAGAGAAATAATAGTTACATAAAAAATACTTTGTCTACCATTCAGTAAAGACACCATCAACATGTAAATTTCCTGTTCAGATGGTTTTTGGTGTAAAAGAACACATGAGAATAGAGAAGATATTCTTCCTAAGTTAACTATACACACATGCATAAATCAGTGATCCTTTTTAAATTATGTGCAGAGCAGACACACAGAAAAGTGCTAAGATTAGAGGGGTACTTCTGCTGCCTAAGAAATCAGTGTAAAGCAACTATTACTTCAAATGTAAAAGGACTGGTTTCCTCAAGAGAAAAATTATGTCCAGGTATAACCAGGATGTACAGTTGCTCACTGCTGATCTCCTGCAAAAATTAAATATTCTTGATAGAGCACAGTGTTCTGAAATTTTCCTTACCTTTACACTTGTAACTTTATATATAAATACTGTCCCATGTATTTGATTTTTAAGTGTAGATCTTTGACTTGTGGCCAGTAACTACACACGGAAGATGCATGGACAAAGCACTGGTTGTCCCTGCCCACAGTACCCTACAGAGTAATAACATTTCTCCTGTAACATTTTGGCAGTTCTTCATTTTTATGTGCTCTAATTTTAAATGTTAGTAGTTCCTCTTTGACACATGATTTGGGGAAAAACCTGAAGAACAAAAAAAACACGTTAATTTCTATACATGATGTATTTTGCTATTTCCATTTTGATTTTTTTCCCACATAATTATATTGCATAATCCATATTTTAATTTATTTTAATTGTCTTTGTTGAGGGTCACTTAACTTTCTAAAGCACACCAGTTTTAGAACTGTTTTCCTCCTGGAAATTTATTAATTGACTTGAACATATTAAAACTCTATTTATTACTTAGTAAAAACACATGGTACTCTATAGAGAATTTACTCATTAAATGATCCCATATTCACAGAATTCACACTTGGGATAGAAAATACTATACAATTTTTAAAAGGTTTAAAATACATAGACATTGATAATAATTCAAATTACTGCACTGGTAAGATCATCTATAGAAAATAAATACACTTTAGAAACACAAGTGTGTAAGTTAATTAAAAACACTTTATCTATGTTTTTAGGTGGAAAAACAGGATAAAATGCATACGTGTACTACCTATAATCACAAAGCAGATCATAGCAGAGATGAGGAAAAAACCTACAATTGTTCATGTTATGGGTTTCTCCTCCATATAGGCTGCCTTCTGGGAAAGGGTAAGGCATAATTCTTAAGAGCACTTGGAACTGATTCTTTCCACTCCATAAATTGGTGCTATTAGCTTACTCCAAGTAACAAAAAGTGAAAGTTTCACCTCAATAGCTCTAATGAAATTTGTGTTACAGAAAAGGTCAGCTTATTTATTATGACAGAGAGATTTCTATGTTAAATGCCACATATATGTTTACTAAATACATTGTCTACTCCCCAAGGCTACGTACTTCATTAAGCCCTGAATGTGAGTTCACAGTTTGAATCTCAGAGTATATTGCAAGTAGGAAAACAGAAACAAAAGGATCACCAATCTAAAAGTACTGGGACTCATCCTCTCCTTCACATCCGCTCAACGTCAGTTTACAGAGAGGCCTCACTTTGGCTCTTAGCTAGATTACCATCAACAGTTCTGTTTGTATTTAATTTATGAGTGCTTTCAACGTTTATAAACATTATTTGATCTCTAAGAGGTCACATGTTACAGAGGAGGATCAGTCTGCAGCAGGTGTCTAGAGTGTCTAACCCAGAAGTTCCATTAACTTACAGTTTGCTACCTGGATTGTTAAGGAAAACCTAATAGTAAGTGCAGTCCTACAAGACTAAGAGTTACCTGAAAAGGGGAGAAACTATGAGAAGGGGAAGGTCCCCTCTATGTGCACAAAGGGTTCTCTCCACAGCACAGCCCCAAATGATGCCACCTGTCAAAAGCTGGCTCAGGATGCTCAGCTAACTGCCACGCACCACGTAAGGGAATTCTCTCTGAGAGCTTTCTTTTGAGCTCCATAGGGTATCTGTGGTCTACATTTTTGTTAACTAAACTCCTAGACCACAGGAGACACAGTGAGTGTTCAGCCATTAAATGACTTCTGAACTAATCCAAGAATCAAAGCTATGAATACAGCAAAGGGCGTTCAAACCACCCGCCACGCTACTCGACATTGCGAGACTCTGCGCTGCAGCACCCGAGAGAAAGCACTGCAGAGAATTTTTAACGTTACTTTTTTAATAACAATAATTTGCCCGTATTTTTGGCAGCGCGCACACCAGCTCTGAGCACACGTCAGCCAGCCGTGCCTGCCGCCCGGGCGGTGCCGCCGCCCGCCTGCAGCTGACCCACAGCCCGGGGACAGCCGCGGGCCCCGGGCCGCCGCAGCGGGGACCAGAGGGACTCGTCCTTTCCCGTCCGCCCTGCGACGATGCTGGGCGGGGGCTGTGCGGCCGCTGCGGGAGCGGGCGCGGTGTGCGGAGCGGAGGGGAGGCAGCGGCTGGGGCGCCGTGGGGGCAGGTGAGGGCGGACGAGGGCAGGACGCAGCGGGTCTGCCATGGCCGATACGGCGGGGGGTCCCCGGCTGGCAGCCCCAGGCCCTCTCCCCGCCCCGGAGCTCCCCCTCCTCCACCACGTGCAGTATCTTCCCGGCGGGGAGCAGAATTCCCTGTGGGGACTGCCTGTCCCCTCCGCTGCCCGGAGTATTTCTAGTTCTCATCCTTGCCCGCCGCCCTGGCTTCCCCCAGGCGTTTTCCTTCCCACCTGCACGCTCCTTATGTAAGGCAGGATCTGATGGAGAGCGGGGATGGGGGGGTGTCAGCGCAGACACACACACACATACACATACATACATACACATGCAGCCACACAGCATCCCTCCGCAGCGGCTCCTGGGAAGATGCCGATACCTTTTATCCAGGCACGCGATCCACTCGCCGGAGGACGAGGAATGGGAGGCGTGAGCGGCGACCATGTTGGACCGGGATCAGGTTGCCGTGCACCCGGCTGGCGGCGGCTCTCCCCGCCCGCGCCGGTCGGTCGGTCCGTCCGTCCGTCCTCGCTCCCTCCCTGCGCGCACAGCGCGATGGGCTCGCCCAGGCCCCACCGCAGCGGCCGAGAGGGGCCGCCCGCCGCCCTCACGGCCCACCGCCCTCACGGGTTCCGACCTGCGGCGGCCGAGATACCCGGCCCTGCTTCAGTGCAGCCGGCAGGGAGCGGCCCGGGGAGGGGGCGGAAAGTCACTCCCCTCCTAAAAGGTGGCTTCCCTGAGCTCCTCAGTGCCCGCACCTGAACCCGGTTTAGTGATCCCTCCCCTTGCTTCACCTTGACTTGGTTTCAATTGGAGGGGCAATACGAGCGTTGTAATTGCCATAAGCAGCTCAGGAGTATTTTATCGGCGCTCCAGAGCACTGTCCCGTCCCCCCGCCCCCAGCAATAAATGCACAGTGGGTGAGTGAAAGGAAGGTGTAGTCCGCATTTCAGGATTTTCCCTGGACCCTTCCTCCAGTCCGCTGTCATCTCCCATGAAACTGTGTGCTAAGCTCTTATTTCTTGTACGTGAAAAATGAGCTGGGCAGCGCAGCCTGTGAAGAGGATTTGGCACTTGGAAGGAACCCAACACATAGCATGAGAAGGGTGAGTTTAGTGTACAGTGAAACACGCCCACACCCTTCTGTTGTGTGTGTGTGTGGCCTGCAAGGTGCAGGGCTTTTAATGATACCCATGTGTATGTGATTTTAAAACTGATGATGAAAGGAAGGAATTATGAAAGGAAGGAAGAACAGCATTTCTCTCTGCTTTGCAAATTCTACATTAAATATTTCCTGTGAAATAGTTTCTATAGATTGTTTCAGGTTCTAGATACTATCTTCCAAGTAATCAGTTTATGAGCATGAGCTTCCACTTACAGTCAACACAAATTGCCTTGAGTACCTTTTGAGAAGGGTAGGAGGCTCTACGAATCTCAGCTGGATGTTTGGGGTTACAGATAGATGATAGCAGAGTAAAATTCAAAGTGTGCCTTCCTTCAGGCTCATAACTCCCCTCTGCTCTACAGTGTGGGGACAAATTATTAATTCCAATGGTGATCATATGCCAGTGCCTTTCAGATTTCTCCATGGGCTATGTTCTCTACCCTCTGTTGTGATTTCTTTGGTTGTACCAAGTAATTTTTTTAAATACATGTGCTACTTCATATTTCACATCTGCCTTTTAGTTGGTTGCCTTGCTGTCACAGCTTCTTTAGCACTTTAAAAGAAATAACTTTTAACATTGGGATACTGAACAGTATGATGAAAAATCTAAGGAAATGTATCTAAAGATCCCTTTTGCTAAATTGATACAGCTAAGAAATTGGCATAGCAGAGGAGAATACCACAAAAGGCAATTCTTTCCTTTTGCCTCAAAAAAAAAAAAAAATTAAAGTACATGCCAGAGGAATAGAAGAGGCTTCCAGTTAGTGAGATCAAAGCTGCAGCTCTTCCTTTGCTGTCGTCCATGGGGGAGAAAAAAAGATAATCTTTTGCATCTAAGTAATCAATCTACTTGAGGAAAATCAATGCTATTCATTTGTCAATATGCAAGTGTTTGAGAGCCAGTAAAACCAGAGCTTGAAAGGTAAGCAGCTCTAAATTCTCAATCAAATTAATGATTTATAACACAGTGCGTACATGACAGATGAATCAATAAAACTCCCTAATTTTGTACTTCCGTTATAAAACATTAACATTCACCAGAGCCGCGCCCCGGCCCGGCCGCCAGAGGGCAGCCGAGCGGCGCCGCCTTCCTTCGGGAGCGGGGCCGGGGCTGGAGGCTACTCGCAGCGATTTCCAGCAGTGCCGCTTCTCAAAACCCACGTCGGTGCCGTGACTCTGCCCTTGGCCCAGCAAGGGTCCTGCCCTGGGACAGCGCTCTGTATTTAGCAGTACTTCGGCTTCCAAGGAACGCAGTGCGCGTCGGCAAAAAGGGGATGCTGCTCCCGTGCTTGGCCGTGGGCAGACACCACTCAAAGATGGATATCTTTTTGTGGAGTAACCATTAAAAGAGACTTTAACGCTTTATGGATTGTGTAAGTTAGACATGCCCAGAGTGAGCCGGGAACCTTGCCTGCATCCATACTTCATTCGGAAGTGTCCCAATTAGAGAACAATTAGAGCAAGACAGTCAAAATTAACTCTGGCGTTTGTATTATGAGTAATCATGTAGCTTTCTAATTAAGACACCAGTGAAACTTCTCAGAGAAACTTAGCAAGGAATAAATATTTGAGTAGTTCAGATATCAGCCTGTGTCAACCAGAGAGTCTCCAAACTGCACAGAAATGTCACAAGCTCCTGACTATTGTAATCAGAAATCCCTGACCCCAGGACAGTTCATTTTCTCTTGAAATGAAAAGTACCAAATAAGCATCATATATCTCACACGACAAGTCAAATAGAATACAGATTCTCCTGTGACTCTTAAGAATTCAGACCATAACAAGCCTAGGAAATGTAATTTCAGAGTACTGGCCTTATGTTAATGGGGTCAAGTGCCCACTCCCTTGTGACAACATATACTAGAATGAAAATGCTAAAGCACACTTCATTAGTTTATACCCTGTACCTCCTCCTGCTGCCTCACAGTGCTCATTCTTAAGCTATGCACTTGTATTAAAAATATTATTAAAAAATGTATTTGAGATTTAATTTCTCCTTATTGAACAGAAGGCTAATGGGACTTTTTAGAATCTGAGATGTGATAATGCAGCCAAAAAATTAAAATGGAAGCTGCTTCCAAAGGTGATTGCTGCTGAGAAATGGAGAATTGCCAGCTGAGGTCTGTGAAAGATCAGTTGGCCTTTTAAGTTCCCACAGTTTAGGAAGGAGTTACAGGGCCATGCTCTTAAGAACCCCTTAAACTATAGAAAACAAAATTAGCCAGCCTGCAAGTTATGCCATGCCTGTAAGAATAAGAGTTCAAATGTGTAGGGTCCAAACTGCTGTTTGCATTATGGGACATAAGGCAAATCATTCTGAATTTAGTACTTTGCCTATTTCTTTGCTTTTTCTGGCCAGTACAAATACTCATTCCCTCACTTTTACTGAAATGCAGCCAATGAGATCTTGCTTAAGTTTTCCAGAAAAAAATAAATTTTCTTCAATTCTCTTCAAATTTGCTGTGAAAAATATGAACCAAAAGACTAAATCATAGTTGTTGGAGCTTGAAATAAAATTACTTATTTGGTTTATTAAGATTACACAGTAATAGATTACAAAGAAGAGCTACTGTGGAAAACTCTTTATACCACTAATTATACCAAAAACTTCAAGGAGTTTCAAGTAACTGCAGTAATAATTTCACTGAAGCTGATTTTAAGCATGGTGTATGGAAGCCAATTTAAACAGTAGAAGTCCAGAATGAGCACATGAATTCTACCTCAAGCAAAGAAGTCTTGGGAGAAAGACGGAGACTGACAGGACTGTGATCCATATTTAGAACAGAGCAGCACCACATTCAGTGTGGTTAGGGTTGTAGGAACCAAAATGGTTCAGTTGTACACACACAGCACCTGTGGGCTTCAGAGGAGTGATCAGCCTGTAGTGGAATAAAGACACAGAAACCTGCATTGAGTTCTTTTAGATTTGTATGCTGTGAGGGCTGCAAAAGATGTGATGATGTACATGCTTTAAACCAATGCATGTATTAATAAAACTGCCCTGTAGAGCAACATAACAATTCTCCTCTTCAGTGCTAAGTAAAAAAACCAGCATACAGTATCCTAGAAAGAGAGTTTCACAAGTAAGGACTTCCTTTCCTTCCTGCATCATTCTGTGTTCTGACTTTTTCTTGTTCCTATTCTTCTCACTCAGGATAACTCCCCAGTTAGTTCACAGGAAAGTCTATTGAAATAAATAAACAAGTTTTAACTTAGTCACAGGAGTATTGTCAAGAGTAATTAAGAGTAGATAATGTAGTATAGTTCTCTGAAGATGTAATGCTTTAATGCATTTAATAAATGTTAATTTATCATTGCTTTATTATGAACACATCAGCATACTGTGTTAAAACAAATTTTTGTATGCAGAACCCAGGACAACATAAGGAATTTCAAGGTGATAAATATCAGGGAAATACTTTGCAGTTCCCTAAGATACAAGGCAGGCTGGGCTCAGACTGCACTGTGACCCTTTTCAGTACAATATTTGGGAGACAGTAGAACTTGGTGCCATACTGGAGCCACACAGCCTGCTCCTTGTTCTGGGAGCACAGGGCAGACACATCAGTGCTTCTTAACAGACCCAAATCAGACTGATCAGCAGGGGCTGAATCACTGGGCTTTGTGCCCAGTCATAGGAATGGGATTCATGGAGTGCTGGGCTGGCTCTCCACATCCCCACAAGAGCCTGACAGGTTATTTCAGCTCCTCACTGCCTGAAAGCAGCTGTGCTGCCTCTGGGCCTCACCCTACAAGTGTTCATTTAGAACACAAAGCATGTGCTTGGGAACTCCAGTGTGCCTTGTCCACACTGCATTGTCAGCTCTTTGTCTCACTTTCTCTGGAACATACTTACCAGGGCTAACAGAATTAATTATTAGATTGTAATTATTTAGTAATTCTTTCACCCAAAGTACAAAAGCAGATGAAAATTCTTCTTGTCTATATGTCTACTTTCCTATTCCTTTATCCTTCCCTGCCAGCTTTGCTATATTTCATAGATTTTCATCAAAGGCTGAAAAAAAAGTGGTTTTGCTTACCTGCAGAGCCAGATGAGCATATTTTAACTGTTCAGGCCAAGTTTTATCTTCACAACTTAGTGTCAGTTCTCTCTGCTAGATACAGATAGATACACCTTCAAACCCAAATCTAATTTCAACATTGCTTGATCACTATGGGACATTTACTCTTCCTGCTCTGTTCCCCATTTCTCCTAACTTCTCTTCAGTTCCAGAAGTCAAATGTATCCATTTTTTCTCTAATTTTTTTGTATTGATGCATAGACACTTAAAAAACAAAGTTCTGATGCAATGTCAAGACTCTGATGCAATGTCAAGACTCTGAGATTCTTCTATTTATTTCTGTATGTGTATTATTCATGAGATATGGGGCATAAAATCATTTGACTGCACTCTCTCAGAACTCCTTTGTGATAATTCACAAAACAACCTCTCAGTAGTAGACACTTTTATTTATGTGACTACCACACCTCCCCTTATAATTTGAGGTTTTCAAGTGCAAAAGGAATGTGTTACTTCGATTCCAGGCAAATAAAATTTCTGTCATGTGGGTGAAAGGTGTTTTCAACAGCCTTCCTTCTCTAGCTCCCAATGGCTCAGCTGTCACACTGATTCCTTGTTTGCAAAATTGAGAGCTGTAAAACATTATACATATCACAAAATAAGCACTCCTAAAAAGCTCTGTGAATTAGTCCTATATAATTAAGTCATGTAACTTAATTAGACATTATAGGAAATAATGACTTGTGATCTGCAGTGACTAAAGAAACAGGTCTTTTAATTATTTTCTGTAAATTCTTTCAGTAAAAAAGATACACTACTATGAGTGCAATTCAGATCAAATTCAAAAATTATTCTGGTGCAAGTGATTATTTCATAAATACATGCAAAGAAAGTCCAGGGTGTTTAATAAGTCTGAGATTTCCTTTTTGCTTGTGTGTTCTTTACTACTCTAAGAACAGGACTGTAGTTGGCATCCCAGAAGTCCTATAATGAAAGCATTCAGAGCTTTATATTTACTTCTACAATGCAATACAGTCTGCTGTAGGTAAAGATCATGCATGACACACTTTTGCACTTGACAAGTCATTTATGTAGTAATTAATTGTGCAGCTTCATATACACTCAATGCAGCTATTCCATTCATCACAATACAGTAAACAAGTTAATTCTTTCTGCAACATTTGGTTCACAGGATTCCAGATTTAATTTTTCTAAGAACCTGCTGGGGGCACCAACACATGCCCATAAAAATCAAATTATGATATTTGGCAAATGAAAAAAGAAAGACAAATTTAATAATTTATTTATATGTTATAAATTACATGGTACACCTCAGGTTATATGTAATGCTTATAGTCTTCTTCTCACAGCTTGGAAAATACACCTACAATGAATTTGCTTGCAGGCTTATACTTGCAAATAACTCACACCAAGAATGACCTGAATAAAGCACAGGCATCTCTAGTAATGCATTCTGACTGAGAAAAAAAAGGGTGAACCAATTAGCAAGTGGGAAAAGAAGCTGCCTTGACTGTGGGCTGCCTCCTGGTTGGTACAGACAGGTGGCATTTGTTGGTTTAAAACCAGAGTGTTGAGTTGTGTAACAGGAAACCCAGCTACAGCAGCCACATAGTTGAATAGCAGTTGTGAGGTGCTACTTCATGCATGTAAAAACAACAGGACAAGACCATGGATTAAAAATATATTAATGACACCACAGTAGCATAAACCAAATAATTCCCTAGTTTGAAGCAGGGGGGCTTTTTTCACATATAAGTTATATTGGTTCTAGAGAAAAGTTACACAAATCTGAAAGCTTTAAGCAGAGACTGGACAACATATAGCAAACTTTTTACAGAAATTCTGTTTTCTTTGGTGTTCTCTTGTTTTCCTGATGAAGGAAAGACTCCACATTTCAGATGCTCCCTTGCCCCCTGAGAGTTGCAATGTTCAGCTGCCTAACAGCAGCACATTATCTTGAAGTGCCTATTTTTCTAATGCTTCATACATAGTGGAAGGATGGAAAGAATAGATAAACAAAAGCAAAGAATAAGGCAAATTAGAAGCCAGCACAAAAAGAGGGTAAGAGTTGAGCAGCAGACTGGAAAGAGATTGCTGCTGAGGAGTGCATTGACTTTAAATTTTTAGAGGATCTCAATTTCTTGAGATCTATGGAGAAGAATCTTGCTATGGAGAAGAATCTTACTGAGAAAATTTGATGCAGATAAAGAAATGAAATTAAGTTATCACCAGGAAACTAACAGGAGAGAAAGACCTCTTAGGCACTAAACAGAAGAAGCTGGGCTTCTTGCAGCAGCCAAGAAATGCAGCATGGAAGTACCTCCTCACTGATGTGATGGCTCATCAATTACCTCCTACTTGGAAGTGTTCCTGAAAAGAGAAAGAAAAGTGACAATTGCCAAAAGTTTTTATTATCCTCACATAGCCACAGCTTGCTTCTGATAAGGCAGGGTATCATTGTTGCATTTCATTACTCAAAAAGTGCCTATTAACATTTTTTGACATTTTGATTTTTGTGCTCTTGTTCTACTTCTAGTCAATGTAACCTGTTACATTATTCAATCACTTTTATAGTTAGGAGTTTTTTTTGCCAAGTTCAAGTGGAATTCCCTGCACTTCAATTTGTGCCTGTTGTCTCTTTTCTGAGTCTGGACATGCCTGAGAGGAGTCTGGCTTTATATTTAGCTCTAGCCTCTAAGTCCATCCTGTTGGGTTTTACTAGATTTTAGACTTCACACTTTTAATGTTGTTCAGATACACATCATATATGACAAAAATACTGGCCATCTTTCCCTACTGCATATGAATATTTCCTCTAGCAGTCTAGTGGGTGCCTCCGAGGGCTGGGATGGAAGAGGATCTCTGGGGACAGTTCACTCCAGGATTCCCTGTGATCATTTTGCTTTCCTGCAGGATGGGGATGGGCTAGTTCTCAGTGCAGCCCAGCAATATTGCCCTCAGAAGACCTTCCTGGCATGCTTACAGCCCTCACTGGATATTCAGAATATCCAACAGCCTTCAGGCTTTCACAATCCCCAGGGATGATTATATGATGCAGCCCCATCATGAGGGCTAAAATTGACCAACCTATGAGCCATGTACTCATCAAAAAATGAGTAGATATTTTTTAGAAGCACATGCACCCATTCTTGTTTTCCTCCTTAGCAGACCTCTGGAAAGAGGCGTTTATAAAAGTATCTATGTTTGCTCACCTTAGTAGTTTAATCCCTCAAAATAGCTACACTTGTAAGCACACCTTTAACAAAAGATTTTTAAACAATGCATTTTAAAGGTTTGAAGCGTTTTGCTATGTTTATGCCTTTTACAAAACAACCTAGTAAGTTTCCTGGGGTGAAATCAATGTGGATCTGGGATAAAGATACTACAGGTCTTTCTGAATGATTCCAGGAAAATTCAAAAAAAGCAAGGCACTGATTCACTTATATTGTTGATCTTTTTCAGGTTTACTTACATAGAACATTTCAGGTTTTGGGGTTTTGAGTGATGTAGACTGTATAAGCACACATTGTCTGTGACTAACCAATCTCATTTCACTTTGGCAGAGGGACTGATTTTTCTAGGCTTTCTTCTTACTGGAAGAGATGATGTTACAGAATACTTCTATTCTGAGGATAGTACACAAATCCCCCTGAAATGCTTCAGTTAATATTTGCTACCAGATAAACCAGGGAGATATGCAAATTGTACAAATTTACAAAATGTCAAGGCATTTTTTGTTTTGCCTTCACTAAGCCAAGAACGATTGTGTCATCTTATTATAAACTTGTAAAACATTTAGATATTTGAAACTCACATAGTTCTGGGAAAGAAAACTATGAGGATAGCATGCCACTGTCCAATTACAGCAATGTATGTATTGAAATAAAAATGTTTAAACAGATGTTATAAAAGACTCCATTTTTATTGTACAGCATAGGCACATCTGCTGTACTTTAAATACTTCTTATCCATGCCAAAGAAATAGTATGAAGAGAAAATGTCTTTTTTGTGCTTTTCCTTTGAGTTTACTCTATGTGAATACGGGAAGAGTCTTTTCAATAGGAAAAAAGGCACTGATTGTAATCGCAACATTTTGTGTTTGCCCTACAGCTGCCATTTGTGACTAGTATGGAAATCAAGTCCTGGCTCTTGTTTTCTGGCCCCTTTTAAAAACCTTGAATATTTCTAAAATAGTATTGGGCAGGAAGGAAAGGAGGGACAGCATTGTGCAAGACCAAACTAATATAAAAATGCTGCAGTGCTACACTCACTTCCTTCCAAATAATTTTCAGGCATTAGCTGATTGGTATTGTTCTTTACAAAGGAAATATGTGGTGTCACAGTGTTATCCTCAGTGGTGAAGTGCACCTATGCTGATGTTTATGACACACATTTGTTTTCAGGATGTGCTTGAGTTTTAGTATTAAGGCCTTGAGCACATAAACTCCAGACTTAGACAGCAGTGGAGTGGTGGCTTTAGAGTAGTAACTTTAATTACTTAAAAGGTAAGGCTCTTACATTTGCTCACTGGTGAGTCTGGTAGACTTAATACAGCTATATTTAGCAACAATATTTAGTAAGAAGCATCCACTACTACTAAGTACGTGCTTTAGCAATGCAATAGTCTCAGAATTACAGAGCACTGCAACAGGCAGTCTTCCTTCCTTGAGCTGCTTCTGTTACAAACCCATTGCATACTCCCGGATGACAAAGGTGCCCGTGTAAGTTTATCCATAAGATATTATTTAAAGCTAACAGATGGATGGGGCACTGGAAGGAGAAAACCTTGAAAGCTTCTGTTTTTTACAAATTCTTCTGGGAAGCAAGTATGCAGCAGCAGTCTGACAGGGGATCCATAACAAGCTAGCAGCTCTGCTTCCATATGGTTCAAAGAGACCAAGAAAAACCCTAAGGGATACAGAAGTTTTGCCATTAACTCGAGTGAGACTGAAGTAGGAGTGGAATACAGATGTTACACCCGTGAAAGTTATGCAGAATTGGCTCTGCAGATCCTGTCAACCATAAATTTGGGTGATGGAGACAACATTGCTAATCACTATCCTGCATGGGATTTTGGAGAAAGTGAATAAAATCTTCAATCTGTCACCTTAAAGGCTTCTGGGTACAATATATACAAACATTTGCTTTGTAGGCACAAAACTTGCCAGAATTTTGTTACTGTTTACAAGCATTCCAAGAGTATTAATGTGCTGGGTATAAATGACACTGTTGCGTGATGCTTTTGCACTTGCAACTGCTAGGACATGAAATCAGAGGAACTAATACTATGCTCTAATATACCTTACATGTTCAATTATTTCAAAAGCACAGTTTATGAAAATTATGCTCATTTTCTGGCAGAAGAATATTTATGCCATAGCAGGCACCTCAAATATAAGACACTATACACAAGGAATTTAAAAGTAATGGGTTTGTACTTCACTTGTCAGCATTTGCAGTGCAAGAAGCTTATGAGATTTCTATGTCTTCTGATAATGCTTTCCTTCTGCTTCCTTTAAATTGTCACTATGCCTTAATTTAGACTAGTGCCTTATGGCCTTGGCATTTTTGTTTTCCTAATTCTAGTTTTAAACAAAATCACTGATCTCCTCATGGTGCAAAAAGTAGGATTTGTATGTAATCTTAACAACAGCTTTCTAGATTTCTTGTAAATTAAATAAAAAGAGCTGGATGTGCATTTGGATGTATGACCAGGTGACCATATCAGCAACATGACCCTTTGTAGAAAGATCATTATTATTATTATTCATGTTTTTGGTGTTTAATATGTCACTGCAAGAAAAAGAGCTGTTCTCTGTTTCTATCAGTACAAAGTGAATACCTGCTACCTTCTCCAACACTTCCATGAAAATAATTTGCAAAGTGAATTCCATTCCTCAGTGTGCATTATCCATGTTTTAATTCTTCTCTCTATGATCATAATTAAATTTAACTTTACAGACAGTAGACAGAAGAATGAATACTTATAAGTGAACTGCACAGGTATGTATCAAATGAAAAGAGTATCTGACTGAGAAATGTGTTGAAAAGCTTAGGTTGAAAATTCCAGAAATCCTCTTCAAAACAAAGTATCCAAAAAGAAGTATATTCATTTTTGAAACTGGGCTTGTTCAATTCCTGCTAAACAGAAAATCTTCTTAGACTGGTGAAGTTAGATAAATCTAAATCAGACTTTGTTTGAAAGCAGATCCAGCTATCAGCTCACAGGCTGCTGGACAAGAGCCTGTGGGAGGTAGCTGGGCCTTTGGCTGTCACCCAAAATGTTCCGACTAAATTGTCATAAAAAATAAAATTATTAAAAAAAAAAAAGCCAACCTTCTTTCCTGCCTTCAAAAGCAGGGTTTAAAAGTCTTTCAGTAAAAGATTTAACTTTTTCAAGTAATATGGAAACCACAAAAAAAAATCTGGAAACATAGCTGGAGGAAATAAATCTGAGAAAATAAATGCCTGTGGCAATGTATGGGGCAATGGAAGTATATTCCTAGATTATTCTAAGCCAAATGCTCTTACTTTACTTATCATTCCAGATGTTGTCAAAGAGGATATACAAATTATTTTTAAACACAAGCAAAGAGTAATTAACACTTCACGTTCTTTTCTGAAGATATTTACACATGTGCAGCATTAGATAATTTGAGAATTCCTTCAATTTCAGTAGTATAGAGATGGTCAAATGTATATATTCTGAAGTCTTTATGTGGTATGGGGTGTTATTCTTATTTTTTCTTAATTTCCTTTCAAGTTTTTATTGTTGTATCACTATAAAAGTAATGGCTTAAAAAGTGACAACAAGAAGTCTCTGACATTATTGTCCACTTTTTTAGGTCCAAATGTGAAAGGTACTACAGACAGTTAATCTACTTATCAGTGATTTGTAAGCATTGTAGGAATTGAAGTTATTTCATTTAATAAATAAATCATCTCTCACTGTAGAAAAGGATGGTCTCTGACTATAGCCAAAGGCACCCGTCCTCTGAAGAGGTACACAATGATTAGAGTTTCCACGGTGTTAGATTAAAAGAAGTCAGCAAGATGCACAAACTTGACAACTATCAGACTAAGAAATGACAAAATAATTGAACCAATCCTAAACTGCAGATCATAATTAATGGTTAGTAGTATTTCCTATGCAACTTACTTTTCTTTTTTAAACCAGTTTTTCAGATGTGAAAGAAGCATTATATTGATATTTTGGGGGGAAATGTCAGTGGGATTTCAGGCATACTCCAGTGTGGATATAAGCACATGGCTTTAGGAGTACTGGCACTTACTTGAATGAATTGGTTTTTTTAAGGAGGAATCAGTGGTATTTTTCATTGATGTTTTTTAACATAACTCTTATAAGGATTTCTTGCAACAAATACCAGCACATGGACCATAACAAATTTTGCTGTGAAAGATTCTATCAGGTGGTGATTAATATGCTCAATATGCTGTAAGGTATAGTACCTGTTCATTCTTCTCTGGTTTTGTGAAATTCTGTACTTGCAGTTTCTGAGCTTTCCCTGGATAAAATCCTGTGTTAAAAAAAAAAAAAGGAAAAATATTGAATTTATCATGACTAAAAGGAACACAATTTAACCACAGAAAGCTTCATGAAAGATGATTCATGCTCCAAGAAAGTTGGAGAATGTTGGAATAATTTGTATATATTTGTCTCAGAAACAACTGTATATATTTAAGTAGTTCTCACTGTTTCCATTTGCAGATAAAAAATGTGATCATATGATCCTTTCAAGACAAGCTACCACTAATTTTAAACACTCTGATTAGTCTATTTCTACTTTTCAAAATAGTAAAAATAGTATCTCACAGGATTTTACTGTACTGGATGCAGTTCCTTGAGTTGTGAAATGCTTCCTGGGAACTTTTCAAATTCCAAAGATATTTTAGTCCTAATAGGCATGTGTGATATGTCATTACACCAGTCATGTTTATACATTTTTGCCTGTATGTAGTAAATAGATTCATTCGCTCCTTTTACATTTTGTGTTCTTGCAGCTCTCTGAACTGTGGAGTTGCATCAGCTCACAATACAACCAAGTCTTTTGTTACTTTTTGACTCCTAATTGCATTTAAATCCAACACATCACTTAAGCTTCAACTCTGAGGGTTGTCTTTAACTCTTAAGATTAACTTTTCCCAGAAAAGTGAAGAATTTTTTTCCAATTTTTTGGATGAAAATTTTGCAGCTTAAAATGAACACAACAGCAGTCATTGCCAGTCCTTACCTCCAAATATGTCCAGTAAGAAATGGAGGCATTCTTACCATTTAAAGTTTCAGAGCAGATGGAGTTTGGCTATTCTGAGTCAGGGTCACAAGGTTGCATATTTCCCTCTGCTCAAGCCTTGTAACACTTGGTGAGCATTAGTCAGATACCAGGCTTCCGCATGTTGCCCTTAGCAGTGTGGCTGAAAGGAAAAGTAGCTTTTTTGGTAAACTGGGAGAGTGAGCAGAGATTTGAAATTGGCATAAAGTCAGCGTCAGTCTCCTGAGGCCATTCGTGCAGTCTGGCTTCTGCCAGCTAGTCTAGCAAATTGTTCATGTTTGCTTTTGAACTTTGTTCTACATATGTCAGGCTAGACTATTAACAGCTGAAGAAATGGACTAGCCAGTGAAAACTTTTTGTAAATTAGCTGAGCATGACTGTGCTGTTCAATATTGACTTTGTAACTTGGCAATGCTATCCACTGCTCACATTTGAGGAGGTGTATTGGGCATCCACTTAACAGTGTATGAGTTTATAAGATTACATATGATCATAGCACATTTGTAGCTGTCAGGAGCAGAAACTAAAATATTTTCAGTGAACACCATTGCCAACTAAACAGAAACGGTAACCAGGCAATGCAGAAACACCACTTAGGTTGTTCAGGACTCGGAAGCACAATTTACCAAATCTCTTCCTCCCCCCAGCCCCCAACTGAAACGTCTGTATTTACTTGGAAGCTTAATTTCACTAATGTGCAACATGTTATATATAAAACTTTAAAAAGCCAATTTGAATCTGAATCATCGTCACCACAAATATCAGTGGAACGGTTTGATAATGCTGAATCCAGGCACAACCTTTCCAAAAACACCAAATAGTTCCACATGATTATAAAGAGAAGATAAGGAATTAATTAAAGAAATGTTTTTTCAATTACTTTTTTTTTAAAATGAAACTGGCTTTTTACTTAGAAGGACCTTATCACAGGCAATGGCAGTGTTATCATCTCAGTAATACAGACTTGGATATCTGTGCCTGACACCATAAACCATTATTTGAATCAGGTCAGAAAAACTTCTTCCTGATATAATAGCACTGGCACTGTGAAGTCCTGTGGTCATGGTCTGTTACTTTGAGGCAGAATGGTATGCAAAATGTTTGTCCTGCTGTTTCTTCATCCCTGATGATCCTGTTCCTTCTCCCATTTCTCTGGGTTCCACTGGATGAAGGAAGGTAGCAGAGCTACTGTTCTGTGCTAAGCTAGAAATTTTAGTAGAATGTTCAGTATTATACAGGACACAACTTTTCTCACGGACAGGATGGTATTTGTCCTGGTTTATATCAATGAGCTATATAGGCTTTTACTGAGAAGCTGAATTTTCTACACCTCTCAACTATGAAGAGATCTGGGCAGTCCATAATACATGCTCCATGAGAATGCCATGCTAATTATCCCATGAGTTATTCCACATTGAGTTTATAAATTTTTACAACCTGCACCAATATTTCAGCCTCTGTCTTCAGACAACTAAGCAAAACAAAGCAGTGAAAAATACTTTATAAGCTATTAATTACTAGTGGCTTAAGGAGTAGTGTTAAGCTCACAAATTCACTGAAAAAGATAAGGGCTGCACCTCAAATGTACTTCTAAGTTCAGAATTTTAAGCAGAAATTAAGTCACCAACTTTGTGAATTGCTGCCTTGGAATATGCGAAATGTTCAAGTTAAAAAACTTCATAATGCCAATATGATGGGAATTCTGCAAGGTTGTACCTGTTACATGCATTTCATCACAGCACTTTAAAAATACCAGGAGATCCTTAAAACTACAAAAGAAGTGTATTTTGCTTTCCACAGATGTTACATCAAATTAGCTTTAATGTGGAAAAATACATATATTTGCTTATGAAAATGTACAGTTACTGCTTAATTGTTGAGGGACTCTGGTAGACATTTTTCATATTTTCAATTTTTTAAATGGAAATAGATGAGATTTTCAATGGAAAAAAATAGATCTGCCCACATGGCTATATTACACCATCTTATTAAAATATGCTGGGCACTTTGGAAGCAAAGACAATGTCTCTGCCTTCATCACCTTAACATGTAACAAGGATACTCTATCTCTTTCCTCAGATTGTCAAGATACAGAATGATAGATACATTCAAATAATACTTAAGTAAATCCTTAATTTGCTGTTATAATTACTTCTTGGAGCAGTTGTGGAGTTTGGATTTCTATAACAATTTTTACCACAGTTTCAGATTAAAAAAAAAATAGTTTTAAAAAATATAAATTAAAAGTATCTGGTTTAGCCATGTTTTCATGTTTTGAAATAAACATTAAAAAGGCATCATCTTGACTTTCACTAAAAAAAAAGAAATTTTTTATTTTTGAAAAAAATCCATTTTCATCAACCATAATTGTTTTAAACAGTTCTTTAAGAGTCTGACCAACAGGATGAGATACCTGAGCAATCTGGGGTCCTGTGAGCCATCTCACGGCTTTAGTGCTGACCTGCATGGATTTTGATTAGTTTACTGAGATCCCCAGTTGTATCTAGCTATTCTGTTTTCTGTTGGAGAATGCATGTTATTAGGCATAGCAATTAACCTTACACAGGCCCTGCCCTTGTTCTGTAGTAATCATATTTGTATGGGCTACACACATCACACCCCATCACTGAGATTTCCCACTTACAGGGTTTCTTTTGTACCTGGGAGAGGACAACTCCTTTCTATGCTCTTTTTATTCTTGTCATTGTACCTGTGTAGGACAGGTACTTAACATGAAGGCTTCTAAAGAGACAACTTCTGCCCTTATGAGATAACATCCCCCTAAATGTTGTTATTACAGGTAAAAAGAGCTTCAACAAAAGCAAGCTAAATAGGCTGCTTCTTGGCTGAGCTTGTTCAGAGACCTGCCAACAAGACAAGGAACTCTCTGAATTGTAAACAGCACAAATGAGAAATAAAAGAATTACAAGCCTAGTGTTCTCCTCAGCCTGTCATCCTCCTCTTTGGTTGCAGTCCAGCGGCTTTTTGGAGGCTTCTTTTCAGGACAATAAAAGTTGTCTTTCTTCTAGTCAACCAAGAGCGACATTTAGGTTTGAAATAATCCCATGAGCCAAAATGTTCTTTGTGTGCCTGCAACCAGTACGTGTGTCATTCAACAAACTTGAAAAAAGTGGGTATCACTCTTACTAGGCTTGAAAGCAGAAAACACATTAGGCCTGGAGGGTTTCTTGATACTGCCCAGAAAATAGATACATGATATCCCAAGCCCTTTTGAAAGAGAGTGAGGGAGATGGAGGAAAATATTTTTCAGATTTTGTGTATCAGACCAATCAATAATGAGTTTCAGAAGTTCCTACGTCTTTTCAAAAATTTGATTTTTGAAGTGAAATGTCTTCTAGATGTTAAGCTCTGAGCAGAATTTTTGTTTCATTCTGGTGTTCTTACCATGTGAGAGCTGAAAACACATTTACATCTTGTATATACCTGGCAAGTATAGACTGCAAAATTTCACATGATCTGAATCCCCATCATCTGGATTTGAGACCTGTTTGGACCACTTAATGATACTTTTTGACTCTCAAGCTAAGGGATTTCTGTTCATGGAGAGTGGAGCTCAGTTGAGAAACACTGCTTGGGTCTCCTTCTGCTGAGCTGCCTGAGGATGCAGTTGCAATGCCACCTTGGGATCGTGCCCAGTACCCAGTAATGACAGCTGTTTATTACCATGCAGATCTCAGAGAGTCCAAATCAGAATGGAGAAAGGCAGCTCTTTGTAGGACTTATCCTGTGTTCTTGAAGAATCCTTTAAAATCAACAGCAAATAAAGTATGATTTTTGTTCTCAGAGGAAATTACAAAGTTTAAATGCCTCAATAGACTACATATATATATCATATATATATATTATACTTCTTTGCAAATATATGATTGAAGTCCCCCTTGAGTTACAGCACCAGAACAAAGCCCGCTACATTTATAACAGCCCACTCAAAGCTGAAGAGAGCTCATTTGATCCCAGTTAGCCATAAAGAATTTTTTTCTCTCATGTGTCATGAGTTTCCTTTATTCAGAGTATTCCTATTTCCCTGACCCTATAGCCTGTTCCCTCATCCTACGTGTCAAAGACTGTTGCTGCAAGACTTCCAGTTTGAACCAGTCACGTTGCCCATTTTCTCTCTTTCAGGCTGTTGGGGCACCTGTGTTCCTATGAGCATGGCTAAACCATTACATCTCTGGGACTTTGTGACCTTGCAAAGTGGGTGAGTGTCCTGAAATTGCCCCTGCCCATCCATTTATCTTCCAGCACAACTCTGAAATCCTGTGCATTAGAATAGTTTGCCTATCAGAACAATATTCAGCCCTGGGTTTGAGTTGATCATGTGAAAGATGCTGTTAAACAGTTTTAGAGGTTTTCTCATGCGTTACTGTTCCTGGAAATGCCTTTAGAGGAGGAGGATAGTGATTGTGTGTGTCATAAGGCTTCAGAAATCTTTTGCTTTTCATCTCAGTCCACTGGCCAAATAGAAATGAGTCACTTCATTGTGAGTATCCTGTCTCCCATTGCTTTGTTTAGGTTTGCACCTACTTCTTCCTGAACAGGAAAAAAAAAAAAAAAAGAAGAAAGAGAAAAGAATTAATCACACAAACATGCTGGTACATGTTTGTTTGGTACACATGGTACACAGATGATACAATGAGAAATTAAAACACTGTTCTCACTTTACTGTCTTTTACTACCTGAAGCACTGTGTGCTGGGACTAGTTCTTGGAAGGACTCTTCCCTTGCTCGGAAAGTGGTCAGCCCAAGGAAGGGAGAAGAGGCTTCTAAGCAGCACAGGGCTTCCTAAATTGCACTGAGAGCATTTAAAATGCTAATTTGAACTTTCTGAAGAGTAAATTCACTTTGGGAACACAAAGGAAGTATACTAATTGGCATCAGATAAAAATCTAATAAAAGACAGTATCCATAGAAGGACTCTCTAAGTCTTGTGTCCTTTCCTTATGTATTCAACAATTTAGAATAAGAGAATAATATTATTTGAGTATGTTTCTCTATTGTTTTCCAAAGGAAAATAGGAGCTGCAACAGGACCTTTTCATTTCTTTTGGGCAGGGTGTCAAGATAAAAAGCAAAAGGTAAGATTCCAGGAGCTTAGTGCCAACACCATGCTTTCATAAGTATT